CACGTCACTCCAACTTGTTGCTTCCGTGGTCACATCTTCTCTCCACTGTGACCCTCTTGCCTCCCTCCTATAAAGACCCTTGTGAGGACCTGAGGCCCACCCGGGGAATCCAGGAGAATTCCCCTATTACCTTAATCGCATCTGCAGATCCCCTCTTGCCACAGAAAGTGACGCGCTCTCAGGTCCTGAGAATTAGGATGTTATCTTTGGGAGGCATTATTCCGTCCACCGTATCTCTATATTCAGACAAAATTGCAGGGTGGTCCTGTGCCACGTGGTCTGATCAATGCTGCTGTGCTGAACGCTTCGTGTTTGGCTGGGGGGACAGCACCACCTGGTGGTGACACTCGGTAAAGCATCCATCAGCTGCAGAGCCGCTTTTCCTTTTGGGGTCCTCTTCACTTTTCCCACCTTCCCCGCAATCCCACCCATCCCTGCCTGCCGCAGCCCGCCTTCTTAGACACAAAGCAGGCAGGAGTTTGCGAGAGAGGAGGGCGAAGTCGCGAGGATGCCTCGTGATAAGATCAGAGCCTGTTCTCCGCTTTCCTCCTTCCCTCTTTCATTGGAGAATTTCCTCGCACGCTGCAGCTGCATCCCTGTGAATGCTGAAGGCTTTCTGGAAATCCTCATCACTTGTCATAGTTTCCTAAGTGAGCAGGTAACTTGGATAAGAACTGTATATCATGGCCCATTTAGATTCCTGTTCCTGTTTTGAAGTTAATGACTTCATCAGTGCGTTAAGGCTAGGAGTGTTCATTGTGTTTTCTAGAAAAGCCGAAACCAAGCGGAATCACAGATACACAAGATGACAGAATCAAGACTCAGAAACCTCTGAGTAGGCTGTTACTGTGTTTCAAAACAAAAGAAATAAAAAGTCCTATAAATAAATGTAAAATTTAGCATTTTAGTTCAAGCCGTCAACCGCATAGACATGGGAAGAAAATATGCTTACAGAGATCAAGTAGGAATTTTATTTCACTGTAGCTCAGCAAAGATAATATAAAATTGCTGCCAAAAAGCCCGGCCCTTCTGGTCCGGACTTGCAAAAACAATTCAGTAAAAGGAAGGTATCTCTACTGTGTGTGTTCCCCCACACCTGAGGATGGATTTCCCTTCCATGCTCATGACTTCAAGAGTTGCATTAACAACTGTCAAGTATCCAGAGCCTTCCATGTACCCAGCACTGTACAGGGCCTGAGGACACAGAAATATAAAAGCCTAAACATAGAAGGTTAATATATCTTTAAAACTGTGTACTATGTATCCATAGAATGAAATACTAGCCATCCATGACAAATGAGTTTTGTTACGTATTTACTGAGACAGAAGACAGTCATAATACATCATCAAGTTAAAAAATATACAAAATATAATATGTTCATTGGGTTCCATCCCTTTTTTACTGAAAAAGTTGAAAGAATATACATTAAAAGTTAACATTGATTGTCAGCAGGCAGTTTTTTTCTATAAATCTACATTCTTTTTCTATAATGAACATATATTACTTGTATCTTTTTTTGTTTATTTTTGAGACAGAGTCTCGCTCCGTTGCCGGGGCGGGGGGTGCCATGGTGCGATCTCAGCTCATTACAACCTACACCTCTCAGGTTCAAGCGATTCCTCTGCCTCAGCCTCCCAAGCTGGGACGACAGGCACCCACCACCACACCCGGCTAATTATTTGTATTTTTAGTAGAGACGGGGTTTTACTGTGTTACCAAGATGGTCTTGATTTGACCTTGTGATCTGCCTGCCGTGGCCTCCCAAAGTGCTGTGATTACAGCCTTGAGCCACTGCACCCGGCCTGTATCCCTTTTTAAAGTTATTTAAGAAATATAATTTTGTGGTATATTTATTAACACAGACATTTATAATATATCATCAAGTTTAAAAATATACAAAACAATGTGTTAGTAGGGTTCCATCCCCTTTTATTTAAAAAGTTGAAGAAAAATACATTATAAATTGACATTTATTATCAGCAGGGAGTTTTTTTCTGAAAACCTATATTTTTTCTATAATGAACATATATTATTTGTATCCATTTTTAAAGTTCTTTAAGAAAATAGAACTTAGTTACAAATTTAGTTTTTAAATTATAAGAAGTATTAGGGGGCGATCATCACCTGCTGTGGCATTGCCAGGTAGGCTGTTAGTTAACAACGGTATTTTGCATTTAACCATTTAACAAAAGAAAGTGAATAAATGAACAGAAGTGCAGTGGCAGCCAGGTGCAGTGGCTCATGCCTCTAATCTCAGCACTTTGGGAGGCAGAGGTAGGTGGATCACCTGAGGTCAGGAGTTCGAGACCAGCCTGGCCAACATGGTAAAACCATGCCTCTACTAAACATACAAAAGTTAGCCAGACTTGGTGATGCACACCTGTAGTCTCAGCTACTCGGGAGGCTGAGGCAAGAGAATCGCATGAACCCAGGACGCGAAGGTTGCAGTGAGCTGAGATTGCGCCATTGCACTCCAGCCTGGGTGACAAGAGCGAAACTCAGTCTCAAAAAAATAAAAAAAAAAAGTTCGGTGGCAGTTACCCAGGTGTGCCATCAGATGGCACCAAAGCAGCTAAGATTTAAGAGCAGACACTGAAGAGCTTTTGCTCCAAAGAAGCAACTACATGAGATTTTAAATATTTACGATAATCTGGACTGAATAAGTGTTTTTGTTCGCTTGCTTGCTTGCTTTGAGACAGAGTCTCAGTCTTTCAGCTAGGCTGGAGCACAGTGACATGACCACAGCTCACTGCAGCCTTGACCTCCTGGCCTCAAACTATCCTCCCACCTCAGTCTCACTATATCGTCCAGGCTGGTCTTAAACTTCCAGACTCGAGAGATTCATCTGCTTCAGCCTCCCAAAGTGCTGGGATTACAGGCATGAACCACCACACCTGGTTTGTTTTGTTAATGATGCATTTGATGTTATACACAACTTTTCAAAATGATAGCCAAGCATGCAAATGTTTACTTTAATCCTTTTTCAGGGTGGGGTGCTTTGGATTTTTGTAGCAATACAACTCATGCACAAAAACCTACTGTACCAGTTCTGTGGGTCAAATATCTAAAATGTTCTTGAGATGTGATGACCCTTTGACTCTTAACCCTGACCGTACAATGATCTCTTAAGTTTCTAGGAGGCAGTTTCAAGATTCGGATGCAGACAGTCATTAATAACAAATGATTATTCATCGAAGTAGCTGGTTCTCATTAGGGTGATGAGATTTAATCACTTCCTTGCCCTCTTTCTTCCCTGCCGCTCTGTCCTTCCTCCCAAGAGCACAGCTAGCTCCCAGCATCTTTGCTCATCTGAAGGACACTCGCTTAACCAGGCCAAGTTTGAGCAAGGACTCGGGAGCATATCTACTTCAGAGTCTGCGCTGCTGCCTTCAACAAGTTGCTGCTTGTTCTGTCTCCTTCCTGTACACAATTGACATGGTTCCCATGGGAATGCCCAGGTCAGAGAGCGATGCTGTGTTTCCTTATAACCCCCACCCTTCGTCGTGCTGACCGTAGCAGGCATTAAACTCGCTTGAGAAAAATGAATGGATATGAGAGAAAGTTTTCCACAGGTGGGCACAAAAAATGCCCAGAAAGCTCTAAGAGCTCACAGTTGGAGAAACACACCTAGACTCTATGGGTGGTGAAAAGACTGCTAAGACTACGAGGCAGGAGAAGCCACGTAGGGACACAAAGGACCAGGCTCATGATTCTGACACCAGCATTGGTACTTTGTCCTCGGGCAGCAGGATCAGAAATGTGCATCACTCCAATGGTCACTGTCTGTGCGCTCTTCCCAAGAGCTTCATTTCCCTCCCTCTGCTGCCACCTCACCCAGCCTCCCCTGCCTGTGGCAAAGAGAAATCATTCTCATTGGGATAAGTGAGAAAACTATGACTGTTTACCCTACTTGACTCTCAGCATTTGAGTGTGTGTATGTGCGTGCACATGCATGAGATCGTATCATGAAATTTAAAAATCCTAGCCAGGCGCAGGGGCTCACTCCTGTAATCCCAGCACTTTGGGAGGTCGAGGCAGGCGGATCATAAAGTCAGGAGTTTGAGACCAGCCTGACCAACATGGTGAAACCCCGTCTCTCCTAAAAATACAAAAATTAGCCAGATGTGGTGGTAGGCACCTGTAACCTCAGCTACTTGGGAGGCTGAGGCAGGAGAATCTCTTGAACCCTGAAGGCGGAGGTTGTGGTGAGCCGATATCACACCACCACACTCCAGCCTGGTGACACAGCAAGACTTCATCTCAAAAATAATAATAATTCAGTGAGACGATTCTTAAGAAAATTAATTGCTGTAGATGTGGCATATTCTATATCAGAGGTTGACACTGGAGATTGGATCAAGCAGATTTTACTCCGTGAAAATGAGCATGGATCTTAATCCTGTAGGTAAATTATCCACAGAAAAGGTACATCACCTGGAGAGCCATTCATAAAGGGTCTTCATGTCTGGGCATGATGGCTCATACCTGTAATCCCAGCACTTTGGGAGGCTGAGGCGGGTGGATCACAAGGTCAAGAGATCAAGACCATCCTGGCCAACATGGTGAAACCTGGTCTCTACTAAAAATTAAAAAAAAAAAAAAAATTAGCTGAGTGTGGTGGTGTGCCTGTAGTCCCAGCTACTCAGGAGACAGAGGCAGGAGAATTACTTGAACCCAGGAGGTGGAGGTTGCAGTGAGATGAGATTGCACCACTGTGCTCTAGCCTGGCACCTGGCGACAGAGCGAGACTCTGTCTCAAAAAAAAATAAAAAAATTAAAAAAAGGTCTTCACTTACCATGCTCAAATTGTTTGCAAAGAACCCCAGCAAAGGAAGAGATGGGTTTCCATTTTCTCAGGCTGGTGTTTTTGAGTCAGTGCTGATGAAATAAGGTATCGGAAAACCAGGGTTCGAAGAGTGACGTCATCCCCTCAGTGGAGCTTTGATTCCACACAGGGTAGTGATGTGCTTCTAAAACGTCTCTTGTTTTCTTCCTGCAGCTCGATCATTATCCTTCTGTGAGTTACCATCTGCCAAGTTCATCCGACACACTCTTCAACTCTCCCAAGTCGCTCTTTCTGGGAAAAGTTATAGGTAAGAATGTGGTTTGTTAGGTATAAATGTGTGTTAAGAATACATTTGGGTAATGTGATTTTGGATTTTAAAACTATCAGATAAATTTCTCTCACTGGGGCCAGTCACGAATATCTTCTCTGTACAGAAAAGTTACACGGTTGTTCTTGGTGTTTGTGTAAGAGAAGCATCAGCAAATCATCTTTGGGATAAATTGCTCATGTAACTCATTCTGAAGCTACTCATTCGCCTTTGAAATACATTGTGATTAGGCTGGGCATGGTGGGTGACGTCTGTAATCCCAGCACTTTGGGAAGCTGAGGCGGGCGGGTCACTGGAGGTCATGAAGTTCAAGACCAGCCTGGCCAACATGGTGAAACCCCATCTCTACTAAAAATACAAACATTAGCTGGACATGGTGGCACATGCCTGTGGTCCTAGCTACTCAGGAGGCTGAGGCAGGGAGAATCGCTTGAATCTGGGAAGTGGAGGTTGCAGTGAACCAAGATCACCCCAGTGCACTCCATCCTGGGTGACAGAGTGAGACTCTGTCTCAAAAAAATAAAATAAAAACAAAAAAGAAATATATTGTGATTGTGCTGGGGGCTTCTAAGTCAATGTTGATAATGGAACTGGTGTTTGCTGTGTGGCATAAACTACAATGCAGGTGAAGGCAAGTCTGCTGCAGGCTTCTCTGTGGAGAATTTGGTTTATTACAGGCCTCTACCTTCTGGCAATAGGATGTCATTTAACATTTCATTTGTCAAAGCATATTTACATGACTCTGTCTTCCTCTCACAAGAAAGTGCCTTCATATCATTTGCAGATGAGAAGGACAATAAGGACTTTGACAATGTAACGGAACACCCTTCCCCTCGTGTGACTGTGAATTCTGGAGCCTCCTGTCCTTCTCTTCACCAGAGGAGGTTAGCCCTGTGCAAAGCTAAAAATATACCATGGGCCTCAGATGTGTGAAGGCTACACTCTAAATTTTTAAAATATGACTGATGAAGTATTTTTAAGTATTTCATGTGAAGCCAGTGAATTTTTTTTTTACTGTGAGGCTGTGTACTGTGAACCCCAAATGAAAATATAAGATGGTGGTGACATTCAGGCGGGTAGGGAGGTCCCTCGGTAGCCAATGGATAGAAATGATCAGAATAGCATTAATTGTAAAAATGCTCACTTAAAATCATGGGGCAGGGGTCACAGAAAATGAGGAGTGAGCAGGGGACTGAACCTATAATAAAAATAATATTGTGCACTGATGTCATATTTACTGTAGGCCAGGCTCCAATTTAAGCTCTTTGTAGATGTTAACCCATTTAATTTTCATAACAATTGTATGAGGTAGTTGAGATTATGATGTCCACTTTTTAGATGAGAAAACTGAAGCCCAAAGAGATTACATAAACTGGCCACCTGGCTAATAAGTGGCAGAATCAAAATCTGAACTCAGGCAATCTGACATCAAGGGAGCTCTTGACCGTGCTGTAATCCCTGTGGTGGTTAATCTAGAAATGCAAAGAGACAGACAGAGAGAATGGCTGGGGCAGGAGATAAGCGCTGAGGTGGACCAGTTAAGGGATAAAGCTCACATCTTGTGCCAGAAAGTGGTCAAGAACAAAAAGGATTTCTGGGTTTAGAACCAGGCACGCACCAGTCCGGCGGGTGAAGGAGGCATCCAGAAGATAGTGGGAGAGCAGGTGTGCGCATGAAGTCCAAGACCACACACGCAGTGAACAAGACAGCAGGGGGTGGCAAGTGAAAAGTCAAAGGCTGGAACTGGAAAACAAATGAGGACTCAAATGTGTTGATCGTTGGTCCTTAGATATGGTACAAAATGAAAGGATAATTAAATCCCTTCTGCTTAATCCTTTGCATCCTAAAAACAGCACTCAGGCACATTCTCAAATCTAGCTCTGGGTTCCCTTACTCTGATGTCCTTGTCCGAATTTTCTCCAACATTTTCTATAGTTGCTGTATTTTTACAGATCTTATCACCACTTCTGCTGTCTGTGAATAAGAGACTTTGTGACGTTACCTGTTACATGTGTAAATATAGGCAACGAACGTCACAACAATCCAATGAAATGAGATCCCTGATTATAAACCTCATTTTGCAGATGAGAAAACGGAAGCAGAATAAGGTCAATTTGATAGAAATTACTCAACTAATCTTGGGAAAGCAGAGTTTGGACCAGACTCTTAGGTAGATCAAACAAACTTGTCATTCATGGTCAAGCTCCATAAGAGTGATGTGTTTGAAGGTTGAGCGATGCCATCAGTTAGCAACAAAAGGTAGCTGTTGAGTGAAGTGGGGCCTTGGCATTCATAAGGCATGGATCTGAGACTTTGGTAAATACCCACTTTCCACCAGAGGCACTCCCACAGTTCAGTCAAGAATACTTTAAAATGTTTAGTGCTCCTTCAAACCGTGTGATTCCATCAAACAGACTCTACACTATGCTACTGTGATGTTCCTAGAGATACTATGCTATGACATTCCTAAAGTGACATCAACTATAAACATATCTGAAAAAATAGACCCTTTATTTCTTTGTGAAACCTAGAGTCCAATTTTGATGGGAATGTTGGCTGATTTCTAGGTTTTTGTCACTATGAGGAATATCCTCTGGTTCCTCTGTTTTCCAGATCATGTAAATAAGTTCACATTTCAGCACAACTGTAATAAACTGTATGACCTAGACCTTCAAGGTCATGAACAAATAACATCATGAAGGCCACATCTTCTACAACTAAGAATGTACCATGCCACCAATCTCTGCACAGCTGAAAGTGTGCCATGAGCCTCAGATACATGATGGTTACTCTCTGACTTTTTTGTACACCCAAGGAAAAGGGTGCTGCATACACAAACTAGGTAACTGTGCGTGTGACAGTGAGTTACAGAAAGTACACATCAACACCCGTAAGGAAGTCCACAGTTCCAAGATGGAAAAGGTGTCGTGCATGGGAGAGTAGTCAGGGCTCCAGCAATGGAGACTTGGTGCACTGACTTCCAGCAGAGATCGTCTCTCATGCCTACAAGCCCATGACCTCCCTGCAGACAAAGATAGCATCTCATAGTTCCACCATATGCTAACAAGGAGCAAGTGAGCAATAACAATTTGTTGAGTTAACAAAGAGTTAAAGGGGAACAAAACAGAAAGAATATCGTTGTAGACGTATACTACAGGGTGTAAGGGTATGATGATCCTAACAGAATCAGTAAGATTAGCACAGAGGTGAGATCTGCAGTCCTCACGTAGCTCACAGCCTAAAAGTGGGCATCTGACAATCATGGAGGAGAAAGAATACGGACTTTAGAATCGGGCAGAGCTGGTTAGACTTGAATCCAGTTCTACTCTGTTAGCGTTGAAATCTCGGCCATGTTGCTTTCTTAGTGAAACCTCTCAGAGCCTGGGTTCTCTCAGATGCAAAATGGGGAACACAAATACCAACTTGCAGGTTGTTAGCTCCCTGAGGGCAGAGATTGCTGGGCAGAGACTCTGTTTTTTTAAACTAATCTATCTGCAGCAGCCTTATCAGTGCCTGGCATATAAAAAGGGCTCAAATAATATTTATGGTGTACATGAACTACTCTTTTAATATTAAGCTAATAATGTCTTAAGACATATACAACACAATGCCTAATACATAAATAATCACCATTTTTGATGCTGGCCACATGACAGTTATTATGCTTTATGCTGTAAGTACAAAACTGTCCGAATTCCTCACCGCACCACAGACCATTGTTACCCTCGTTGTATAGAAGAAGGAACTAAGGCTCAAATCGATTAAGTTATTTTCTTAAAGTAGGGTTTCCCAACAGTAGAGCTATTGACATTTGGAGCCAGTAAATTATTTGTTAAAGGGGCTGTCTTGGGCATTGCAGAATGTTTAGCAACCTCCCCGGTCTTTACCCACTAGATATAATTACTACCCCAAGTTGTGACAACCAAAAATGTCTCCTGACATTGCTAAATGTCCCACAGGAGGGAAAAATCAGCACCAGTTGAAAACCACTGACTTCAAGCCACCCAGCTAGTCAGTGGTGATGCTGAGATTTGAAAAGCGTGATTTGTGACCCAAGACCTATGTTTGCTTTCTGATGACACCTGCATCTCCCAGAATGATGAGGAAGCAAGGACGAGATCAGATACTCTGACGCTGAAATTCTGTTAATAAAATTGAAGGAGTCACAGTGAAGACTCCAAAAAGTCATGTCAGTGCCCATATTTGATGTATTTCATAGGGGCAGGACTAGGAGGAATATGCTTAAATGTCTCTTTGAAAACAATATATACTTCAGTGACAGACAACCCATTTGCATTTCCTAGCTGTGTAAAAATCCATCTGTACAGACATGCATATTGAACTTGCCACAAGTATATACTCTGGCCAGGTTTTGAAATCCCCTGGAGATTCATGACCCAAAGTTGTTGCTTTGCTAGGTCAGCTGCTAATCAGAAACCTATAAAAGAAAGAGAAGAAGATGGCTCTGAATACCTAAGATGACTTCACACTGGGATCTTTGATGAGCACTGCTCAGAAAGGGAACATAAAAGGCTGGAAGAAAGGCTACCTAATCAAAGACAAGTGTGATCTTTATATAGGGGATGGAGGATATATTTTCAAGATATAACAGTGTGATCACTGCCAACCAACAGCAAACCTTTAGAATGGATTCTTACATAATCCTGAATTCTTCTAGAAGGAATTCAGGATCACTAGCAATCAGCAAATTTCCACAAAAGAGAAATCTCACCAGACTTAGTTATGTCCATCTTTTCTTCCTTATTTTCTTCTTTTACCAGCTGAGTGATATCATAGACTTTATCTTTCAGCAACAAATTTAATGGTCTCTCAAGAAATCTTCAAGGAAGAGAAATATAACTTGAAGCTGAAAGTGGGGTCCTCTGTTCATTCAAATCCTTTTCAACATTTCTATTAATGCCTTGGAGAAAGACACAAATAGCATGTTTATTAAGTTTGCAAATGTCACAAAGCTGAGA